GTTCACATTTTTATTGTCCTATTCCAAATGCTTTTTCTAGTTTTTGACATTTTTGGGTATAGGTTAACATATAAAATCTTTCATGATTGCTTTTCTAGCTTCTAGTGGCCAGTATATTATTAACAAAAACATTGCATAATGTTTGTATGTGTGCTTTACAAGCTTACAAGTTACTTTCACGTGCCTTTTTAATTTGAAACCCAGAAAAATACTGTGAGGCAGGTCAGCCCAATATCATTATTGTCCCCACTCTAAATTTAGGAAAACACTAATGTGAGGGGGCTAACTTAATGTCACACAACACGGAAGTGTCTTCTGACTTCAAGTAAGAGTGTTTTGCTCACTAGATTAACTATCTAAAGCATCCTAACCCAAACAGCAACTCATTCCTACTGAATAAATGTATTTCAAGTATTTTATTTCTACCTGGGTTGGCAGAAAAGTTCATTCAGTTTTAAAGTAAAAATAAAAGGCACATTTTTCACTTTCACCGACAATTTTATTTAAAAATGTATTCATTGTTTTGTTCCACTACCTTCTTCCATCTTTCAGGCAACTTCATAATTCCAGCTTCCCAAAACTTTTTATCTTTCTGAGCAAAGAACTCTTTCAGGTGCCTTTTGCAGTCTTCCAGGGAACTGAATTTTTTCCATTAAGAGAACTCTATAAAGATCTAAATAAATGGAAATCTGAAGGTGCAAAACCTGGTGAATATGGAGGATAAATCAGAACTTCCCAGCCAAGCTGTAACAGTTTTTGCCTGGTCATCAAAGAAACATGCAGTCTTGCATTATCCTGATGGAAGATTATGCATTTTCTGTTAACTAATTCTGGATGCTTTTAGTTGAGTGCTGCTTTTAGTTGGTCTGATTAGGAGCAGTACTTGTTGGACTTAATCGTTTGGTTTTCTGGAAGGAGCTCATAATAGAGGACTCCCTTCTAATCCCACCACAGACATGATATCACCTTCTTTGGATGAAGACAGGCCTTTGGTGTGGTTGGTGGTGGTTCATGTAGCTTGCCTCATGATCTCTTCCATTTCAAATTATTATAAAGTATCCACTTTTTATTGCCCATCACAATTTGTTTTAAAAATGAAATGTTTCCTTATGTTTAAGTAGAGAATCACATGCAGAAATACTGTCAAGAACGGTTTTTTCCCCGCTTAACTTATATGGAACCCAAACATTAAAGCAGTTAACATAACCAAGCTGGTGCAAATGATTTTCAATGCTTGATTTGGATATTTTGAGTGTGTTGGCTATCTACTGTGTGGTATAACGTTGATTGTTCTCAATGTCTCGATTTGATCACTGTCAACTTTAACTGGTCCACTTGACTGTGGAGCATTGTCCAGCAAGAAATCTCCAGTGTGAAACTTTGCAAACCACTTTTGACACTTTGATCAGCTGTAGCACCTTCTCCATACACTGCACAAATCTTTTTGTGCATTTTAGTTGTGTTTTCAGCATTTTTTAAATAAGAAAGCATAATATGCCAAAATGTTGCTTATATTCCTCCATCTTCAATATTAAAATGGATACACAAAATTCAACAATTTTGATGTTTTTTAAATGCAAGCTGTCACAATGCAATCTAACAAAATTGTTTTGAATGAAGTTAAAGACAATAAGTGCTACTACAGCCATCTTATAGGAAGATTGAACAAACTTTTTGGCCAACCCGATATGATTGCCCCCCTCTTTGCTATGTATTCTGATGGGTTTTCTCATTGCGTGAAGAAGCTCTGCAGGGATCATACCTGATTATTCCATTTTCCTGTCATTTCTGTAAATCAACCCCACTTGAATCTTTTAATGGCAGAAATGAAGCAATGGCTTGGAGGTATATCAAGTTGGTTAGTACTTGCTTATTTTTAACCTATGTGTCAGGGTTTTCATACATGCTGAAATTGTTTGCTTTAAACATATATCTTTAATGAGATTAAAAACATCTGTAACAACTATTTTCCACCTAATAGACATTTTTTTGTTTCTTTCGCTTAATAGACATTTTGTGTGTATAGTAGTGCCCCCATATATGATTTTGCTTTCTGAGATTTCCATTATCCATGGAAAACCATGGTCCCAAAACATTACATGGAAAATTGCAGAAATAAAAAATTTATAAGTTTTAAATTGCATGCCATTTCTCATAGCCTGATGAAACCTCCCACCCTATGTATTCATCCTGCCTGGGATGTGAATCACCTGTTAGCCTAGTGTCTCCATGCTGTATGTACTACCTGCATGCCAGTCACTTAGCTGTCTGTGTTATCAGATTGACTGTTGTGGTATTGCAATGCTTGTATTCAAGTAACCCCTATTTTACTTAATAATGGCCCCAAAGTGCAAGTGTAGTGATGCTGGCAATTCAAATATGCTAAAGAGAAGCCATAAAGTGTTTCCTTTAAGTGAAAACCTTAAAGTTTTTGACTTAATAAGGAAAAATTGTATGCTGAGGTTGCTAAGATCTAAGGTAAGAATGAATCTTTTATCCATGAAATTGTGAAGAAGAAAAAAAGACATGTATTAGTTTTGCTGTTGCACCTCAAACTGCAAAAGTTTGGGCCATAGTGTATGGTAAGTGCCTAGTTAAGCTGGAAAAGGCATTACATTTGTGGGTGGAAGACATGAACAGAAAATGTGTTCCCACTGATGATAGCGTGTTGCACTGGAAAGCACTGAGCCTCCAGGGAGACTTCCACAAAGGAATCTCTTGAAACTAATGACACCAAGCCATTTACTGCAAGTAAGGGATGGTTACACAGATTCAGGAATAGGTTTAGACTGAAAAGTATAAAAATTATTGGAGAGAGAGAGAGACAACACCCACATAACTTTTATTACAGTAAATTGTTACACTTATTCTATTATTAATTGTTGTTAATTTCTTACTATGAGTACTTTGTAAATTAAACTTTGTCATAAGTATGTATATATAGGAAAAATCATAGTCTGTATAGGATTCAGTACTATATGGTTTCAGGCATCCATCTGCTGGGAGATTTGAACCATATCCCCATATTTCCTCCGAATAAGGAAGAGACTACTGTAATGTAAGTATACAATAATTACTGAATAAGCATGGTAGAGACACCAATGAATACATTACTGTTAACAAAGGTAAATTGTGTGGAACACACTAACAGGTAAAGGTAATGCAAATATCACATGCATTTGGAGTTCTTTCTTATCTTGTCAATAGTTTGATAAAAACCTAATGATGTGGACAGATCTTTAGTTCTGGCAAGTTTTTGAGTAGCTGATTATTTTCAACATCACCAAAAACCCCCAACTAGAATTTCAGTGTATTCAATTTGAAATACCAAGTCTGCAGTGTTGAGATCTCAAATTCCTTATCAGTTTAATGGTAGGCAATGGGAGAAATACTAGGAAACATGAAGAACTATAGTCCCTACATTCACTCCATCACTTCATTAAAAAATTAAAGAAAAGGAAAGCAAACATTGAGTAAACTGGTTGCTAAAAGCAAGTTCCCATTTATTTTTCTAATCTGGAATTATAAGTAGAATAGGCAAAGGAAGAGGTGTAAGAAGTAGAATAAGTGTAAGAAGGTGGCCCCAGCCCGTATCAGTCAAGAACCTAAAGAAGGAAGAGAAGACCTGCAAGGTGAAAATCAGGTGTGACTGGAATTTTCGTTGGGGACTAGACAGACAAAACCAGGAGGATAAAGTAAAGATTTCTGACTTAGAGTAGCAGGCCCGCCGGTTTGGATGCGGTAGAGTACTGCAGTTAAGAGTTTGGTCGCTAACCCTCCATGTGATCTTCATTTCTATGGTTCTGCTCCTGATCTAGCTGTCCTCTTAGTTTGCTTTTGCTTTAGGTGTGGTTCTTCATAACTGTGAGTTTGCTGTCCTTTCACTGTTCATCTTTTTTATCTTCTTTTTCTTAGGTAAGTCCCTTTAACATTTCATATAATAAGGGCTTGGTGATGATGAACTTCTTGAATTTGAGTGGGAGAAGGAGAAGGGGGGAGAAGGTACAGAAAATAAGTAGCATAGATGGTAGGTAGAAAATAGATAGGGGAGGGCAGGAATAGTATGGGAAATATAGAATCTAAAGAACTTGAGACACGTGGTCATAAACTAAAGGGGGGAATGATGGGGAGGGGTGTGCAGGGTGGAGGGGAATGAAGGGGGAAAATAGAACAACTGTAATGGCATAATTAATAAAATATATTTAAAAAATTAAAAAAAAGTTCGGTCGCTAAAATTACCCTGCTTGTGATCCTAGGTCTTGCTCTGCCCCTTACTCATAGTGTAACCTTGGACAACTTGTTTTTACCTTAATGCCTCAGTCTCATCACTTGTAAAATGGAGATGAAGATAATAATGTGGACCTTGGGGCAAATCTCTTAGTTAATAGTTCAGTGCTTGGCTCATAGTAAATGCTCAGCAAAATGTTAAACTACAGTATTTGTTGTTACTCTTCCTCTTTGTTAACACTCTTCTGCAAGGAAGGGAGAAGTGTAGCGCTCATTGCATTTTAAGAGTGATAAACAATTACATGAAAGTCTGGGGCAGGCTTATTTTGAGGTGCGTGCCCCACGGAGGTGAAGCACACTCTGTACCCAGGCCCTCCGTGAATATGAGGGTTCGAGACAACAGCTGGCAGGAGGCACAGGGGAGCATGCTCTTGGAGTGTTTAAAGCGGGACTGCTATTACTGGGCACTTGACAGTTTCACCTCTCCAGCCTCCTGGGCACTAGAAGCTATGTGTGCTCCATACGCGAGCGCCGGGGTTCTGGAGGCGTAAGGGCCACTTGACAGGCACCCTCGCTGCGGGACCACCCTCACCACACATAAAACTGCGGAGGTGTTTGACTCGAACCCTGCGCACGGTCCTAGCCCCAGGTCCCTCGCCTCCCGCGCAGGCGCCGCCAGAGCCACCGGCCGCCATGTTTCTCCCGCCCGCGCACCCTCCCCCTCCTCCGCCTCCCCCTCTCCCCTCTCCCCTCCTTAACCCGGCTCCCGCCCCTCTGCTGTCCCCACACCCCGGGTGAGGTCAGGCAGAGGAGCTGCCGCTGCAGCGCAGCACTTCAGCTCGTATTTCGGGGAAGCCTGGAACGGGGACTTTTGAAAATAACTGGGACGGTGTTCGGGTTAGGGTCCGTGCTCTCCCACTGAGTGAGCGCCGGGTGAACTAACCAGGGAGAACAGTGGGTGCGGAGGTGCGGGGGGCCGGTGCCTCACAGCTGGAGGGAGCTCCGGCTTCTCCGCAAGACTCGCTCTTTGGCCCTTGGAGCGCGGCAGCTGGTGGACAGGCGGCGGGACGCTGGGACGCGGCAAACAAGGTGAGGCAGGGTCTTGAAGTAGCGCAGGGACTTCGTGGGCCGCCTAACCGCGCCTGGGATACGGCGCCTCGAGGCGGTGAGCAGTAGGGAGTTGCAATCTGCACCAGGGGCAGACGGACAGGGACCCAGCTTCGCTCTTTGCACGCCCCACTTTTTTCTCGCTTGCCGGTGCGCGCCCTCATCCCTCCACCTTCTCATCTCTACTTCCTGGACTCGCTTGCATCGCCAGACGCCTGGGTTCTTTTTAGGACCCCCAAAGCCAGTTTTCCTTTGCTTCTTTGTTATCTCTCTAAGACCTTCACCTCCAGGCTTCTCTCTCGTTGCCCTGGCAATCTGGAGTCCCTCTGTCCGCCTCCGCCCCACTATCTCTTGCCTTGTAACAGTTTCTGCTTTGTGCCTTCCAACCCATCCCTTCATTTCAGTCTTCTAACTTGGGAGGTTTCGCTGCTGCCTCCCAAGTCAGGAGCACTCTCCTTTTCCTCCAACCTGATAACTGTACTCTGAGTGTCTTCATCTCTGCAAGTCTTGGCTTCTTTGGTTTAATAAGTTGACTGATGATTTTCTTGGAAGCTTATGATGTAACAGCCTAGGTTTACTGAAAGTAATGGGAATGGTTCTCCAGTAAATGTAGCTAAGGAACTTCTAAGTTTCTTTCTAGGTTTCAAACAGTCGAAGAACCATAGCCACTCAAAAGGTATGTATGTTTGTATATAATCGTAGCACTTGGTCCTAAATCTGATTCTTCCTTTGCTGCGGAGCAGGTCAGAGAGAAGGCAAGAGATACCTTTGATGCGTGGCTTCTTTTCTCCATCCGCAAAGTGGGATGTTCATGATTTTAATGTGGACAGAGGACTCCAGTGGTGTGGGATAAAGTTACTCAAGTTACCATAGTCTGGTTACTAAGCACATTGTATGGGAACTGAGAGACTGAGGGATTTAAAATTCTCTGTGGAGAGGGCACCTGCCTTTTTATTTTTTAAAGAAGCCACAGTTTCATATTTGTATACCCCCCCAAGAAGCAGCATTTAAAAACCATGTGTTTAAAAAAGAGACTACTTTTCTGTGGATTGGAGATTAATTTGTTTAAGTTGACTTCACACAGCACCAGTTTTTCTCTCAGCAATATCACCTGCTCTCCTATGCAGTTGCCCTGTTGGCTCCCACACTGAGGTTCATTTACTCACTTCCATGCTCTAATTGGTGTGTGAAGAAAACTGAATAGAGGAGCTGAATTGGAGGCACAGATAGTGAACTACTAGCACATGCTGATGTTTGCAGTTGTTTTGGGAAATGGCTATATCTAGTGCTCAAGTTTGAAAACTGACAAAATGCAATAGTTAAGCAGCGATGACATTGTTTTACATTTAAGAATATTAACTCCCTTAACTGCAAGCTCTTTTTAATATTCTTATACTCAACAGTGATACAATTGTTTGCTTGATATGTGACTAGGTGTTGCCATTCACACAGTGAGCTCTAATTGGCAGTAATCTCAGAAGAACCAAGTTGCGAATGAAGATAACACCAAATTTTACTGTTTTTGTAGCACTTCTTTTGGCACTGAGATAACGAATGTAGTTTCTGCTGCAACATCAAATGATACATTTTCAAAAGTGATAAATAAGAGCCTCAATTTCTCAAGGTTTTTAATCAGAATTTTTATAAGCACACATTGAAAAGTGTGGTGTGACTGTATAGGCTTTTAAGTTGATGTTCTGAAGAAGTGATTTTTACAAGAACAGTGAAAACTATTGATTATCAGTTTAGTTAGATGGTTTGCAGGTGATTTTTAGTTTCCCCCATTCATTTGGTAAATTCCTACCTTCACTTTAGTTATATTTAAGAAATGGAGTATAGTAGGGAAAGGGAATTACTAATAAAGCCACACTTCTAAATGTGTTATTTTCTTGACGACCCATTCTAAAAAGACATACAAACTTTCTGTTTCAAGAGAAATTGTTTTTATCATTGTAATTTTTTTTCTTGTGTGATTACCGGTCCTGAGTTTAAGCTAAGATTGCCACTAATGTGGACTATTCCTATTTGTGATGAAAAAGGTGAATATGAGTTTATTACAAGCATTTTGCTCTGAAATTTTTTAATATCTCTCAATATGTATTTCATAACCCACCTTGTACACCTGGAGATAATCAGACTGGATATTTCTAACATTATTAAATGTAACTGTAGTTGGCTCTCTTCTTTTTAATTTTCTTTGCATTTTACATTACTTTTCTTTATGTAATTTGACTTATCATAGTGAAATAAGACTAACCAATCTTCAAATTGTTTAATTTTATTGGTGTTTAATAAAGTACTACAACCTTCTCAAAGTATTTTTTTTCTTAAGCCCAGTGGTTGAAACCCATCTCTTTTTATTGATTTGAAATTATACAATAATTTGTCAGTCACCATCAGATTTGAGAAAATGGAAAGAGCATGGAAAAAGGAACAGCCCTAGAGAAAATATCTCAAAATTAGAAAAAATATGCTTTTTCAAGTTACTGACATTTATAGCAGTCAGTCTTTAAGTATATTGTTAATTTGTTCAGTAATTTATTTTACAAGATCTTCAGAGCACCTTCTATTTGCTAAGAACCCCATACTAGGCACAATGACATAACTTACAAGGCATGGTCCTTGCTCTTGTGGAGTCTCACAGAGGTTATATTCCACCAGAGGCTAAAGACAATAAACAAGCAAACAAGAGAAGATCCTTATAGATCAAAGTAAGAATGGAAATGGGTAGCAAAAGGTGATATGGACAACCAGGAAGGTCCTTATTTAGCTTTGATGGTCAGAAAAGGCCACTTAGTGAAGGTAACCTTTGAACAGACCTGAAAGAGAAGAGAGAATGAGCTTATCTTGGGAAGAACAGAGAAGAGCAAGAGCCAAGGCCTTGAGGCAGAAAGACAAACTTGAGGTGTTTGAGGAACAGAAAGAAAACCAGTATGGTTGGAGCCTAGTGAACTGGGTGGGGTGGGGATAGTGGTTAAAGGTGTTAGAGAGCCTAAAAGGTGTCAGATAATAGATAATGCAGTTTGACCATTGGATAGTCTTCATTAACTACTTTTCTGTGGTAGGTCACTGGCTGAAAAAAATTAGTGAAAAAATTTGTTTTGTAGACGATAAGTAGAATATCGACCTACTCAATTGTTTAAGTTAAGACCCTAGAATGGAAAACTTCATTTGATATGTATACTAAATATATATGTAATCCTCTATTCTGTTTAGATAAGAGGATAGGGGAACAGGGACTCTAAGTGCAGTATGTTATAGAGCAGTTTACTTCCATTGTCATATTGTCATTTGTGCCCTGAGGTAAGTTTTCACCAACTTGATTAAAAATCAGATTGTTGTTCAACTTAATCATTTATTTGTTAAAGAATGTGTTATTTTGTCACAGAAATATGTTTCTTATAGAAGGTTGAAAGTTTTATTTGCATATGAAGGAATGACCTAGGTTTTAGAAATGGCCTTTGGGATTTTAAGAAGCATTTGTCATTTTCCTTTAGCTTTTCCTTCTCAATGTTTTCAATTTGCCATATTTTTATTCTTTGAGAGATTAAGGTTGTTATATTCCTTGATGCTTAGGTGAATTTAGACTTGGCACTTATTTTGTTGCTCAGAGCCTTTTTTTTGAAAGCCTTCCAGCTTTGAGGTCCAGTTGGCCCCAAATAGGTATGCAAACAGTCATTGATATTCTGTAGGGGTAAATCCTAATATTGTGAGGTAATAACCTGCAAAGTAACCTTCATTGACTTCTGCAGGGTCTAATTCTAACTCCTTAATTTAGCACTTGAGGATTATGCATGATTTAACTCAGGTCTACTGTTCAACATGTCCTTGTTATTCTCTTACACAAATTCTCTGTTAATTTAAATGGATTTCCCCCAGTTTGGGACTTTTGTGTTAGCATTATTCTTGGTATAGAATGGTGCACAGTAACTGCTTGTTGAATAGATGCCATACCATCAAACATTTGCAAAGCATTTCTGTTTCCTTTCTGTCATTGCAAATCCTAATACTAGTCAAGGAACAGTTCAAATTCCATGTTCTGTTACACCATCCCTTACTGACTTATCTCTGAATGCAAACAGGAGTCACACAATTGTCATGAGTATCATAACTACAGGAAGTCCTCACTTAACATTGTCTATAGGTTCTGCACTTCAAGCAAAATGACATATGACCAAACCATTTTTGCCATCAGCCAATTGATATAAACAGTAATTAAGTTCCTTCAGCATCTCATCAATATTATCATGAAATGATGTTGAATGAAATGACATTATATGAGGACCTGTTGTATGTTTATTTGATGCCTTTCCATCTCCCCAGTGATCTCTGGCTCCATGAAGACAACCTGGACATTGTCTGTTTTTTTCATACTTGTATCCCGAGTATCGGGCATGTGGTATGCCCTCTATAAACCGTTCTTCAATAATAGTGGATAAATGATGTTTTGTATTATGCCTCTTATTATTGTTTTAGATCCTTAAATTGTTTAATACCATTTTAGTTTTCACATGTTTGGTGTTCTCAAGCATTTCTGAGAAAAGTCATAGAGCATGGTTGTTAAGAGAACAATTATGTAGCTAGACTTCCTGGAATTCAGTTCTGGCTAGGAGACTAGCCAGATACTGGGTTAACTAGTTAATCTCTCTGTATTTCATATTTTTCATATGTATCATAGGAATAATAGAACTTACCTCTTAGGGTACTTAAAGGAAGGATTGAGTTGGGTCTAGAATTTGTTGTTTGCAATTTTTTAATTTCACAAACTCTGGAAACCTATGAAATTTTTATTTAGTAAGTTAGGAGCCAAAACTTGGGTAGTGACAATATCTGACTCAAGCTGACATGAGGGTATTTATAGTCTTTATTCTGCTTAATATTAATCTTTATTTGGTTTTGCTATAGAATTAGTAGCAAGTGTGTGGGGCAGCACTTCAGACCCTGCTGTGGCATTACATAATTGTAGTACATGCAGGTTACTG